AGGTGCAAGCAACAGAAGAGATGCTTTGGGGGCCGCCGGTGGGGAGGGCCGGGGGAGGGTCATGGAACCAAGAGGGAAGCCAGGAGCCTGGAGGTGTGAGTCTGAGGCCTCCCAGGGTGAAGAAGTCACTGATACTCTGCCTGGTGGCTGCCTGGAGGACACAAAGATGCCTGACGTTTTGGCAGCTAATGTGGCTTCAAACTAACTCCAACTCCACCCCTTCCTAAAATTTTCAGTGAAGTCCACCTCATCAATAAATGATCTGTATGAGTAGAGATTTAGGGTAGAAACCCAGGGAAAGATGTACTCTCCATCTAAGTTCATGAAATATGGAACACCACCAGGAAATTAGCTATAGAAATCCATGCTTGGGGGCAGGGGTGATTCTGAGGACTGAAGACCCCATGGAATTTCCAGAAGCCTTGGGGAGGACTTTAGACCTCTTCTGGAGGGCATGGAACAGGGTTGAGCTTCTCCAGCAGTGTGAGAGGCTGGGGAAAGCTTGCTGATATCCAACATGAGTATAAATGGGCATATAGGCATATACAGACACAGGGCTGGAGGAACAGTGCCAGAACCCCGTGACACTCCCTGGCAGTGGGATTATGGTGATATTTATTTTCTTTTTTATATAGCTTAGAATTTCTAATTCTTGTAAAACAAACACAGATTTTATAATTTTTATTTTTAAGAGTCAAAGTTTCACTCTGTTGCCCAGGCTGGAGTACAGTGACACAATCATAGCTCACTGTAACCTTGGACTCTTGAGCTTACATGATCCTCCCACCTCAGCCTCCCAAGTAGCTGGGACAACAGGTGTGTACCACCATGCCTGACTAATTTTTTTATTTAGCCATGTTGAGACAGGGTTTTGCCATGTTGCCCAGTCTGGTCTCCAACTCCTGGGCCAACCTCGGCCACCCAAAGCACTGGGATTACAGCCATGAGCCACTATACCCAGCCAGATTTTATAATTTTTAAAAAACTAATAAATGTAGATACAAAGCACTGCCATTCCATGGTGCTTGTGGAATCTGTTTCTGCCTCTGAGTTGGTGAGAAGCCTGTGGGCCCAGATCTGCCATGGACTCAGAGTCTTCGTGCAACTGAGGTTAGTGCTGGGAGGCAGGGGCCCTGCCCACTCACTAACACACCAGAGATCACATGAGATCCCCAAGATGGAACTCAAAGACATATTGGACGCCTTCCTGTCTGGGCTGCAGCCCAGAGCATTCTACAGTTCCCAGAACAGGGTCCATGAAGGGGAACGTATTTCCCTGCAAATTGAGGCACAGTTGCAGTTGCTGGAAGGACATAATCAACCATGGCATCCTGGTTTCTCTGCCTCCCTTTGAGCTCCTCTGTTTATGCGCATCTCCTAAAGGTTTGCAAGTCAAATGCCATTTCTCGCTGGTTTTGTCTTTGGGTATTTTTCCTCTCCTTATAATAGAGCAGAAGCCTACAATGCAGGGTTAGTTTTCTTTCCTCCCTTCTTTTGTTGAAGGGAAGTTCTGCACATAATACATAGAGAAGAAAATACAATTGACCCATACACTCATTGCACTTCTGGGTGGACAAGGCAAATATTTCTGTCTTTGATGACAATACATATTTGTAATATCACACTTGGAGCTTTTCTGCCATTGCCTATGTGGGGATCTGAAAGTGTTTTCTACTCAGACATTCATCTTAAAACCATCTTTCAGGAAAAAGAGAGAAAATTGAGAAAAATTATTTGCAAGCTAATTTTTCTGAATGATGCCCTCAAACTTTTTTTGACTGTGGCCCAACTCAGGCTTGGCAGAGGTCCCCACAGCCATCTCCCTCTGCCCACCCCCTCTTTCCAGAAGAAAAACAAAACTCAGTGATAATAAAGAATATTAGAGAAACAGACAAGAACCTCTTATTTACTTTATAAAAGTATTACAAACATTATATACACGACTTTATGCTATATATATAAAATATATTACTCGGGCGAGGTGGCTCAAGCCTGTAATCCCAGCACTTTGGGAGGCCGAGATGGGCAGATCACGAGGTCAGGAGATTGAGACCATCCTGGCTAGCATGGTGAAACCCTGTCTCTACTAAAAAATACAAAAAACTAGCCGGGCGAGGTGGCGGGCGCCTGTAGTCCCAGCTACTCGGGAGGCTGAGACGTTGCATGAGGAATGGCATAAACCTGGGAGGCGGAACTATGCAGTGAGCTTGAAGATCAGGCCCACCGCACTCCCAGCCTTGGGTGACAGGGTGAGGACGTCGTCTCAAAAAAAAAAAAATAAAAAAAATTAATAAAATAAAAATAAAAATATATGTACTCATTTTCACATAGTTTAACTTATTATAATTATTTAACATAAAATATTTGTTACATTGTATTTATTTTTATAATGTAAAAACAATATTTTAAAGAAGTTTCATAATGCTTAATGTTTCTTGGGTAGGATCAAGTAAGTAGCCGTTTTGGTATGCGCAATAATATTTACAGCATTGGGATTGATTTGCAACAGTAAGATCTTGGCATTTGAGATTCTGTTAATCCCCCGGCGCAGCCTTCTAAGAAGGGGGACCACATTCACATATTGTCTTTTGCCTAATTCTGCCTCAGAAAGAAAAGAAAAAATAAGAGTTAAACAAAAGGCAGAAGTGAAAATTTCAATAGTAACAGCCTGGCACCACACCCACCCCAGCGCCCTGGAGTTAAAGATCAACTCCCTGAACCTAATCGTTTATGTTATCTACGGATTCCAGACATTGTATGGAGGAAGATATGGGTGTAACTCCCCTGTTTGGTTC